AGACAACCTCTCGTCAATATGCGTTTTTCGCATTGCATTGCTGCAAAAAACGCATAAAAACAACCGTTCATGAAGTTTACCTAGTTACTTCAAGTTTTGTTCAAAAGCGCATGATCGCACCGGCTCGACTGATACATTCAAGCCTGGTTTGCTTTTTTCGCTTTTATTCATAAGCCTAGATTTGTTTTACTTTACTTTTCTTTGTAGTGCTGTGTTATCTATTTTCCTTTATGGCTCAGGCTTGCTCTAATTTTCTTTATTGCTCTCTCCAGTTTTTGCTTCGAGTTTCTCACTTATATCCTCGTTCCCCTTGTCTACTCTGTCCCCAAATCCCGCCTGCAGTGCAACATCTGCGCTTCTTTTCACCCCTACTATAACGGTACTCTGGAAGCAAGCAATATTTCAATCCTTCCCCTACCGTGAGTATCCGTAGCAAAAACCAGGAGTAAGCTTCCTCCTGTCCACCTACCCTCCCCGTCCCTCCCCCCCACCTTTTTCCTTCCCTTCCCGAGTGTACGTGACCTAGTCGGCCGACGAAGGACCTACGCCATGTAGCCATTTCAACCCCCCAGCTGTTCCCCCTTCTCCTACCCCGAATACAGACTCAGAAAACCCGCATACGCCATTCCAGTCCCTCACCCTATTCGCCTACGGCAACCGGCGCCCTATACCCTATTAAAGAGACGTCATCTGCGGTCGGCAGAAAAGTTTTTCGCAAGTCGTGTATGACGCCGGTCGGCCGAGCCGATTTTTAGTAAGTGCGGTCGTCGCGGACTGGATGGGTGACACATATCGGGGCAACATTTTGCGGTAAAGGGGTGGTGGTGCGCGGGAGGTCGTTTGCGCGCGGTGGTGTGCTGCTGGGGCTATGGTGCGCATCGTGAGAACAGTGGCTCGGAGAGTGGTTTCCGGCTTCGTGTCGTTCCGGGTTTCTCCAACTTTCTTCAAAGGCGTTGCAGGCGTGGGGCAGGGGGCTATCGCTGGCCGGGACGGAGTAGCAGTCGGTCCAATGGCTGCCGGCCTTCGCATTGTGTATGCGGGGATCGACTGTCGCCAGCCCGGTCGTTGGCTTGCGCGCACTGATGCAGTTGCGGCCCGGTCTTCTGGTGCACAGAGCTGTGTGTGTGTGTGTGTGTGTGTGTGTGTTCTCGACGCAATCGCTGTGCGCTGGTCAGTGATGGGAGAGGGGGAAGTGGGCGAGAGAGAAGCCCCCTGCGCTTGAAGACTCGCGGGGTTTCGCGAGGAGCGGGCTAACAGGGAGTGGAATAACCGCTGTTGCCCGATGCGCATATTGATTTCAAATGCAAAGGGGGTTCGGTGGCGGAAGAAGGGCGAGTGCCTCGCAATCACGTGGGTCGAGAAAGTGTGGGAAGAAGAGTGGGCAGGTAGCTGGGGTAAAACTTACCTGCTGCTGCAGGGGTGAAAATTAGCGGCTCGGTTGCAGGCCCAGTGTGCACGGTGCTGAATTCCTTCTGGACAGAGGCTGCTTGTCAAAAAATTCAATAAAAAATGTGCTAAAGTCAGCCGGAGAAAGGCATTCTCTGCATCCGAAAGTGACAGCGTGGAAATGCCATATGCATCGAGAAGCCTGTAGTGCGCGCTTTCTAACAGTAACAGTGTTGTACAACTATTGGCTG